CCCAACCAACCAACCAACCAACCAACCAACCAACCAACCAACCAACCGTCAGTTGATTAAACTACGAACTACCTAAATTCATTGATATCAATAAATTTTGTTTTGTAACTGGCACAGGTCTATGTTAGAGGCCTTTTAGTAGGCCTACTTGACTTGTATTCAATTAGATGGTTTTCCTGTTACACTATTTTTCATTAAAATTTAGTGGGCCTATTAAATTCGGAAAAAATTACATATGAGGGACTTACGCACACTAAGTAGGCTATTCCTAGAAGACTAAAAATAATGTAAGTCGTCTATCTGTCTAAGGGAACATAAGTGATAAGTCTGCATATTATTAAATCTGTCTATACAGTGCGTTATTATTAATGAGTAGGACCTGTGTCGCTATAGTCTATCATTATTAATTTATTAATCATATCATGGATGATCATATTATCTAAATTACGATGTAGGTTAAACGCACATTTATGTTTGTTTTGGAGAACTGAGGTAGGCCTAAGTCCTAATATTGTATAAGAAATACGCACAAAAGATAGCAGATCTTAACCATCAAAATATTCAGCCTATTTTTAGTAATTTAAAGATTGACAGTAAATAGCAAGACTGGGAAGAGGGTACATAGAGAGACAAAGGGGTCGAAAGTTGAGAATTACTTCCCAATACCTGTCTCTTATACACATCTAAAGTGTAACAATAGAGACCAACAGTGCATTTTTCGATTGCATAAATCATGAATAAAATATTGGCTGATAGCTAGTGTGCATTTTTTCTGAGTACAGCTGAGGGTGGGGACTTCCCTCATCTTCAGAGCATCACCACTGGTGTCCCAATTAGCCTATTTTCCTTCCATCCAAACCTGCTGACCACAGACCTAGCCTTTCCAGTTTGTGGTCAAACTGCTGCTGTTTACAATGAAATACTGTAATGGTACAAATGAATTCCCCATTTTTGAATTTGAGTATAGTAAAAGAAAATAAAGCAATAGGCCTATAAAGAAAACCATAGTTATATTTAGTTGGTATTATAATCTCTGTGTCAATCCCGACGCTATACGTTGCCATGGGAATTACGAATTATACTTTTAACATCGAGGGGAAAGAAATTACAAATAGGCCTATGCGAATAGAAAACCTTGACACATATACAATTGGACACGTTCGCTCGAATCTTTAACTTTACAGGTATGTGGAAATAGGAAGCTATTACGTATTAATTATGACTTGAGAAATCCGAGTTATCAAGCAATCCCAGAACCTGACAAGGTCCTTAGCAATACATTAAGTAAGTCCGTATTCTACCGGATGCGATTTAGGTTACTGTTGTTATTGGTTCTTTATATTTCAAATAAAATGAGCCGGTTCGAGATATTATAGGCCTAGCAGCTGTCTCTTATACACATCTAGATGTGTATAAGAGACAGATATATATATATATATATAAAAGTAATAAAAACATTTTATGTTCCTATTCAAACAGTGTTATAAATTATCTATTTGTTCTCATTTTGTTTACTCTGTACAAACAGAATGTCCTGGTTTTGAATCCCCATCCATGTTTGAGCATTGAGAACTTGTGGTGTATTGGCGGCCATTAGGGCCAAAATAGACAAACGTTGGCGTACGAACAATCCCACTCTCACATAGTAAGACAATAAAAATTGCCGTAAGTACAAACTGCCGTAAGGAAACACAATTGCCGTAATGACAATACAAATTCTCGTAAGGACAAAACAATCACTTGCCGTACAGACAAGACACAATTCGCCGTAAAGACAAGACAAACACTCGTAAGGACAAGACAATCACTCGCCGTATGGACAAGACAATTCGCCGTAAGGACAAGACCAATTTATAACGTTGAGGGCAGCATATTTTAAGAGGCGACAAGGTTATTTTTAGCACAGAAACAAAACTTTTCTGACAGCGGCGCGAAACTTTTGATTTATTTAACATGTACAGTCGACAACTCCGACCGAGCATCTCTTTCGCAACTAGACCAGTGGTGGCGCCAAAGGGGGACTGTGGGGCTTATGGCAGTTAGTATTGTTCTTACGTCAATTTTTATTGTCCTTACTGCGTGAGAGTGGGATTGTTCGTATGCCAATGTTTGTCTATTTTGGCCCTAATGGCCGCCCATACTGTTAACTTCGCATACTGCTGCTGGTTTATCTAAAGGACAAGAGACAGCCACTGACGTAATGATGTATCATGGGGCCCGGTGCAGGCACATATCCAGAGTTTATCATGACTATCCCACAGATTGGGTCCCGGGGTGGATTCAAAGCTTCATACTTAGGCCTACAATGGGGACAAATGGCAGTGTCGTGAGTGAAGAGAGCGTAACTTGTGGTTGTTCTGTCAAAAGAAAAACAAATGTTGAATGAATTTATCCAACCTGGGTTGAAATTGGGCAAAATATGCTATTGCAAACAAATATCATTGCACTCGAAATTTCATACTTTGAAAAAGCTGTACAAACACCATGTAATTCACTAAGACATTTCTTTGAAATACCACGCACAATTCTAAAAATCTAAGTGAAGCAATATTTTGACGATGTTATAATATACATAGCGATTCTAAATACTGTAATGAATCAATGCAGAATATGTCTGCCTCATCAACGACATCTGCTGGACTTCGTGGAGAAAAAATAGAACGAATGACTCTACCATTGAGTGAAGAAAATAAATTTGAAAACTTTTATAATAATGTTGGCTTAGAATAATGGATGTGTTTAATTAAGTATCAGCATATCAATATCATTATTATTCAATATCAATTGTAAAAGGAAAATCTAATAAAATGTTATCACGTTTCGTTGAAGTCAATGTTTACAATGAAGGA